CTCGAAACTTTAACCTCAATATTTTATTTTCGTTTTTTTTGTATTCCAGTAGCATGATAAAGATTTTGAAGGATAATCATAGTTGATTTTGTGTTTTGAAACCAATGGATGAACCGTAACCTGTTTTACATATATATTCGAATATATTTTACTATGGATAGGATACTTAATTCTCATTAGCGAAAAAGATCTACAGTATCTGATGGTAAAACAAAGCATTTGTGTACCCTTATCAAAAATAAAATAAAAATCTTCAGCGCTACAAAAATAGATATAACCTTTGTTCGACTAGGATTCCTCCCTTTGGTAATACATTAATACACATCAACAAAATATTTTCACTACACCACTCTTTCTAAACGAATATTAGAATTATATTAATTGTATTCTGAATAAGAAAAGAAGGGGTGATATCTAGCAAATAATGCGATGATTGATTTATTAAAGAATCTCAGAGGGATAACATTTGCATCAAGAGTAGGATGAATGATTATGCAAAAGCGACCTGAATTTAAGAGTTTGCATTTACCTGTTTGACAGACATTGTCTCGAAATTTTAAAAATTTTAAAGGTACATGTAATGTAATTTTGCCTCAGGAATTTTATTAATCTTTTAATATAATAAGTAAAATTTTGTTCGTATGGAATAGATTTTTATGAACATTGTTAATAAAATTTTAAATGTGGTATGAAAATCGGAAATTTAAAGCTATGAATTACAGCTCCGTATTTTTGGTGTAAATGGTTCAATGCATAAATACAAATAAAATAGTGACATTTATTTATCAATAGGCACATAACAATTGAATGAGAAAACTTAATAAACTAATTCATTATGACATTATCATAAACAGAGAAATAATCAGTGTTTTATAGTCACAAGAGAGGGAAAAAGGATCACGTGGTAGCAATGAAAGACAATTGCAGAGTTTCATTATAGAAAATGTAATGTTCAACATCTCAAGCCCCTTATCACAGTCTAAAGCGGTATTTAATCCTCAACACTAAAACCAAAACGTTTTTTTACAATTATTACGACAAAATAACTATTTTTGAAATAACAGGAATGACAAACAATCGTTTTTCAACATCAGTATTTTAACAACAAAGAAAAAAGGAAACGAAACAAATCTCTTCATTCTAGCGATTAAAACATGTTTTTGAAGTCACTTTTTCAAATAACATAATTTCTCTACAGCATATAAAAACATTGTGTAAAACAACATTTCCCTGTTAAAATTTTGATTTTTGAAGTTACGAAACCTGTTAATTAAAAAAAATGGTTTTCAAGCAATTCTCTCTCTGCAAAGTTGAAAAAGTCGTAAATTCGTAATGACTTTTAATGCAATCTATTCAGTTTGTAATGAATTTTACCTTAAAAATTTTTTACTGAATGATATAAAAATAATATGCTCGACGATAAATGTTGTTCTTGAAAGCATTTAAGCAAATAGTGAATTTATTTGTGTTAATTGTATTTGAACAATTTGTTAAAATTTAATTCATATCAAAGCAAACTTGCTGTTCTAAAGCTTTCGAAAATTTCCCATTGAAATAAAAAAGAAATTAAATCAGAAATTGAAATGAGAACTTTGAATTAAGCTTTTTAGAGGTAACAAAAGTTCCAATGTTTCACTAGACTACTTAGAGTGTTTTTAATAACAATCATTGGCCTCTGCGCATAAGTCATTACGCCCACTACATTAAGTAATTCAGTTTGTGTGACCATTATTTATTTCGCTATTTCTATCTTTTTTTCTTTCTTACTTTTTAAATAAAAAAATGAAGTTTTTGCAGTATTTTAGTTCTTTTGTAATCAAATTATATTTACAAGCTAATTTATGCACATCTTTTGTCTATTATTGAGACAATGTGGGAAGGACCACCTCTCTTATGTTGTTAAAACTTGTGGTCCGAGTTTTGCTTTATATGAACAAAAACAGCATCCATGTAAATATTGTAGATATTCGATAATGTTTTGTCTTACTTTTGTATATGTTTTGTATAGAAAGAAAAAAGCAATGAAATGGTATTAAATTAAATTGAGTTGTGTTCCCGTATAATTAACATAAAGTGATTTAATGTTTAGCACAGCTTACAATTACTTACAATAATTAGCTTAATTTCGTCTTGTGCTGCTATTTCTGAGATTGGAAATCTCTTTTTATTCAACTTTTTCTGATGTGCGCAAATCGAACTAAGTATGCTATCTATTTTTCTTATATCAATGAGGTTCATGAGGCTCTAACAGAATTATATTTAAAATTAATTGATTATCTAATAATTTAACTTAGAATGTAGCGTCTTAACCTTTTATTATGTTAAAGGGAATATAGTTAATCAACCACATCACCTAACAACCATTAAGTAAATATAAATATACCTTTTAAAGAGTAAAATCTAACATTCTACTCTAGTGACCAATATGGTCTTTTTTAAAGTTTAATTTATCTAAGGCTGTCAAGTTGAAACTTTCACTTACAATAGAGAATAGCTTCACTCCTAACGAACTTGTAAATTAAACGCATATAGTTTGTTAAAACCTTGCATTGCATGCTAACATTTAATAAATATGGAGCAATATCTTAAAAGGAACATGTCACGACATAACATAGAAATTTAAGCTTTGATGTAAGAGAATTGTTCACTTAAAAACATTAGTATTTACTTTACTGTTTGTTAAATTATTAGTGTCGAGAAGGGTTGGTTTTTATTGCAATTACCTAATTAGCCTTCAATAGCCTTAGGTTTTTGTACATTGATCAAACCCTGTCAACAACGTGTAATTAGCATACAAAACAATTCAAATATTCAAACTTTGTGACGTCAAAGCAAACGATGTTTTTAGTTTTATGTTTTAATTTGGTAATTGAAAACTTTGAAAACAATGAGATGTTGTTCCCATTCTTGACGGGTCAAGGGTTATTTGTAGATATAAAATTATGTCTTTTTCACATATAAAATAATGAAACCTTAAAATTTGTATAAACACTAATATTTTGAATATTTACAATCACAAAGTTATTCCTTTTACTGAGAAATTAAGGTAATAATAACTATGCTTGAATTATTTTAAGTTGTTGCTCAACAGAAGAGCCTTGGTAGGGAGTGCGGTGTCTCCGCTTTTCTCTATTTTGTTATATGAAAGCGGAAAGTCAGGTACAGAGCATGATATTTTATGTTTTTTGTCTTTTATTTCATTTTTATATAATTGAAAATTAACAAACATATAATTTTAGTTTTACTCGAAAAAAAAAAGCTTTTTACGCATTTACAAGAAAAATACAGCACTTTTATAAGTACATATATGAATATACAGAAATAAAAATCAAGATATCTTTAATACAAAGTCGTATTTTAGCGAAGCCAGATGTTCTTTATTTAAAGAGTACAATTATTAACATGCGTACATTGTTGTTATAAAATGTGAATTATATTTGTAATTTAATGTATTCAACCATAACAATATTAAGGGATAAAACACATAAACTCCCACATTGCATTCTTTCAAGTTCTCTTATACAAATTCCCAAAGGAATATTTATTTCAAATGAAGCTTTAGTCATACAAATATTGTTTGTCATGGCAAAACTTTATATTCCCTAAAATAGCCTTGTGATTTAAATTTACAAAAAATGTATAATATGTGCCTAGTTTATCATTTTGTACCAGAATGAACTTTACATTATTATTCCTTAATAACCATTAGGGAAATAAGTGAGCAGATAACTAGTTTATATTCTAAATATCTATGATCAAGAACTTACATATAATATAATTTATAAGTACATAAACGCTAACTCAAATACAGATTCAGATTGTTAATTGATTTCTAATAATTCTAATTTTTTAAATTGTAAGAGTAATGCAACTGAATTCAGGTTAAATAATCTTAATAAAATAAATGGAAATCATTATTAAATATTAAAAAACCTACATCTTTGTAACTCCATAACAACTGAAGAAAATAATGGTTGCACATAAAAGATGAAAAGAACGTTTCTTTAAATTCATTCAAAGTTGTAATGATGGAAAACATTCTGCACTAGCTCTTTTTTTAAAATAAGATGAATGGAGAAAATGATTTTCCCAATTCATTTTTACACAATTTCACTCGCGATCACTTTTCCTTTACTAAAACTGAAATTTTTCTTTCCCGCTCCAAATTTACAATTGCTGTTTACTTTTTAACTAACAGATTGCAAAATGAATGTCTATAGTGAAAGAATCTCATTACCTAAAATTTAAAACTGTCTTGATGACAAATTCAATATTTTGAGGTTATTTTACAGATCTATATAAAAGCATATGAATTCATCCTTGGTTTGTAATTGCTTCTAATGATACTGTTTATTAAAGATCGTCTTATAAAGATAAATAAATTTATTATTAAATATTAAAAAAAACTGTTATTTAATTTTCAGAAAAAATAGTAAATAATGGTAACCGTTGAATATAAACGCTGAAAACAATATTTCTTTTATATTAAACACATTAAAGTTGTAATGATGAAAAACATACAGCACTAGCTCCTTTTAAAATAAGGTGAAAGTTTAAAGATTTTTCTCCCCATTAGTTTTTTACACAATTTCGCCCGAAATCACTTAACCTCTCTATAAACTTAAATTGTTCTTCCCCGCTCTAACTTTTGCTGTATATTTTTATCTTACAGATCCCAAATGTCAATCTCATAACCTAATAATCAGTTCAATAAAAACAAACGCTTTTCTTAAGCTTTCGACGTTTAGTCTTCTTCAGAAAAATTGACGTTTATAAAATAACAAATGACAAATGACGCAACGTCCGTTTAACTATACGCTAAACAGAACGTGACGTTAACGCGGGAATAAAAAACTTTGTCAAATAAATACAGAATCTTTCATGAATATACAATATATAACTTTGTCATTATTGAGCCGGTATACATATACATATACATGTAGTATGTTTTTTCTCATATCAAGATTTTTTATTTTTTTTTTTAATCTCATAACCTAGAATTTAAAACTGTTTTCGTTACAATTTTTTTTTTGAGGTTATCTCTATAAACCACATGGATTCATCCTCAAAGGTTTGTAATTGCCGATATTAAAGATCATCCTATATCGATTAGTCATGTGGAAAAAGGAGGTAAACTTGTTTCCTGCTTAATTAGTTATTTTCTGCTATTTCAAAATGTGCTTTTTACTACCAATTTTATTTTGTGCCACAATAAGTATTATTATGATTTCTTATATGGCAATCAGCTGTGATTCCTCTCAGAAGATGTAATCTTGAAAAACATTGCCTACACATATTAAGAAAAGTGTTTCTTTTAAGTTTGTTCTTTCGTGGTGCAAATGTTTTGGAATGGTTTATCATTAAGCTACTATGTTTAATTAAAGAAAGAAGTCTCAAAGCTAATTGATTTTAATTATCAAAGAGTGATACCTGATGCTCGAAAACATACAATTTGAATTTGTTTTACTACCAATTCCGGAATTCTCACAACACAAGTGTTTTAGCATATTTGTCAAGTCCTCTACAGTAACTTTATTTCCAAAAATTGATATCAGATGTAATGATAGTATAATTGATGTTGTCAAATTTCATCTGTATGCAATAAAAACACTTTGTCTGTGGTATCTGTACTGATCTGGAAAAAAGACAAAACAAAGTATCTTAAAAAATTTGTATTGCTTGAAAAATATATGAGTATGGCAAAGTTCTTACATGTTTTACTCGATTAACTCGAAAGTGTGAAGGAAACATAAAACGGAATATCTTTAGAAACATTAAGTTTTGACGAAAAGAAGTATTTTCACGATATTATGACATAAGATGCTGCCATAAAACCAGGCAAATCATGGTTAATAAGTATCCTCTTAATATGTATTATGTATTTATACATTAATGCCTACAATTTGAAGGCCCATTTTACCCTAGAATTATATTACTTTCATTTCATATCAAACATGGATTTGTTTAGATGTCCTGTTTTCCGAGAAAGCACCCATTGTCTATATAACTGAACAGCTGTTACTTAGTTTGCTGTTTGGAAATTAAAGCAGTTAATGTGAATAAGTATTTTGTATGGTAATCAAAATAGCACCACGTTCAAATATAGATGCTACCTTTAATTCACATTATAATAATACGGAATGTCTTAAATCCATTAGCAAGCCACTATAAGAATATTTTGCCTATTGTCAAGAAGCAATATTCATTTCTGAGGCATTATTTGCCTTTATTGCACTTTTATCAATATTTTCCTGTCTGAAATGTTACCTCATTTTTTAATTTAATTTCGCATAATATAACTGACTTTTAATATCCCTATAGATTCCAATGACAAGAATATTGATGGTCTATGTAAAGAAAAATTATGTCAATTCATAAACTTCAGACATCTGGTAGAAATGATAACAAAACACTTTTCTTGTGATGAATATCATAAATGTTTCACATAATGTTCATAATTTTTTTTTGCGTTTTCTTTCACCACAGTAAGAGATATAATATTTTCATTTTTAAGTTGATTCCTACAGATGTTACTTATCATTTTTATAATGGTCATTAAGTCATCATTATGTCTGTGGCTTCAATCATTTGAAATATTACAACAAAAATATTAACTCATCGAGTGGATTAAAATAATTACAGAAAAAAATGTTTGTATGTTATAAGGTTATAAAAAAAATAAGCAAAGTTTTATTCAACAATTTTATATTTTATTTTCTTTCATTTATTTCATTTATGAATGGCAAGCAGCAAAATAAATGTATTTAACTTACACTTGATATGTGCGCTGTAAATGACCTTTCAACCTCTACGTCATCATCTAGTGGCGTGTGAACGACTCTTTTATTTGCAACTTTCCTCAACGTGATTATCGTGCATACAATCATACTGGCACCAATCAAGCCTACACCAACAGGTACCAATATACTTATCATATAACGTTGGCTCTGAAAGCATTTAGTATAAGTGTGTATTTTCATGAACAATGTTTTATTTAATTCATTTACTTCAAACTAACCTACATACTGTGTATGAAATTACTACATTGAATCTTCATATATAATGTTCATCTAAATTAATTGATTCTTCCGTAAATTATACAATTATCACAATTTAAACGCGAGGTTATTCGTAAATAACATTACATCTTAAATATTTCATTCTATAATTTATATGTTTCATTCAAATGTGGCATTGCACGCAGAAAAACAATTTAATGCATTCTGTCAAGTTTCGGCATCATTTTGTCCAATGTTATGATGTAAAAGAATCGAAGAATTGCGTTTTGTATTAACATTGATATACATTTAATATCAATTGTTTTTATTTTAATATAAACCTACCTGTAACATTTGTGAGTCAAACGGTTTATCTTCCATAGGTACTAAAATAAAATGAAAAAACTTGTTTTATTATATCTAATAACAATAACATAATTATTATAAAATTCTGAGGTTAGCCAAAATCATCTTTCCTGTTTCGGCGTCATATGATCTCAAAGCCAGACAATATAATAAAATTCTATTTACAACTTATTTAACTATGTAATTCATAAAAACTAAACATGTCTTTACAAATTCCTTACAATGAATTAAAATATTCATATGACAACAGCGTTATTGTATTGTTTTATAGCTGATTTGGCCGGTCATATATATAGTGTCAAACTATGATATTGCAAATAATAATCTGAATTCCCTTTGTAAATCTTGTGTTCTAAATCTAAATACATTGTATTATATTTACATGAAATACCCATTACCTAGTTGTAGATGGTGTTGCAGCATTACTTTCGTCTTTTCCAACATTAAACCCCTAAGTTCGTCATTTTTTATATTATGTGACATTTTGTCTCCTACTTGTCTTGGCAAATCTTTTTGAAGGATCGTACTGGTAACTGTTGTTATATCAACATGCTTGATATCGTTATCATTGTAATTTGTTGTATTTATCTCTTCAACTTTAGTATTGATGCTTTGGTTTGATATGTTTCCAATTTGATTTGATTCATTAATAAAGCTGTCATTCACTATTGCAGAGTTGTTTCTTAAGCTTATAAAATAACTATTTCTCACACCCTCAACACGAGTTGTCAAATTGTACATCCCAATTGTATTGTTATCTTTGATTTCCAGAACATCATATCCCGGTGTTGTACTTATTATAACATTTTTATTTGGCGACACCTCTGTAGCTTTTGTGTTGTTATCTATGTCGTTATCTTTTATGTTAAACGCTGTTTCATTTTTTGATGAACCAACGTATGAGGCACATATTGTGATAACTATTATCAATATCATTGCTTCTGGACACATTTTCAATTATTTATTTGAACTTTAGATTTGAGATTAGTTCCTTGTTGTTGGTTGTCAAGATGAAGATATTCCTGAAAGGTAATGCGAAAATACTTATCAATTTATCTACTTTGAATCCAGTGGTGTGTTTTTCTATAATAAATCATACAAAGTATGATAAATTCCTTTGTGTATAAATGGAAAAATGCCTGTAGAAATGGAATATGGCAGTGACAATCAATTATGATAAATATTATCTTATTAGATGACGTGCTTTAATAGTCAATGAACACGAATTTGCATAATTAAACTCAAATACTACCGACGTATCAAAATTAATATAAAATTTCAAAGCGATGCGTTGGACAAATGATACATTGTTTTCCATCCAACAAAAGAACAATATATTTCCAGAATACAAAGTATAAAATGAATTCTTGTACATAATTTCTGAATGTAATTAATGATTTAGATAAATATAAATAGCAAAATTTCACAACCAACTTTCCCCATACTTTCATTACATTTCGTGTATTTAAACCATAATTTTAATCCCCCGTCCCATCCAAAAATAGATATACGGGAACTGCTATCAAATTGAATTTAATGACTTCGGTTCTTATCAAAATGAAGTTTCAAATCGAACTTGTAATACTTCAATATCTTAACTAACTATACATTAATTATTATCAAATATGAAATAAACCTTTCATTTTAACTCAAGAAATAACTACAAAAAAGTACACACTTGCCTTTTATCTTAGACACGGATTTCTCACATCAGTACAAATATTTTTTAATAATTCCTGTTTTATATCAAATAGTCCTTACATCCTGGAAATTGCCGTCTGCTACCGATAGCAGTTCTCTTATCACTGACTTTGTTAGTATAAACACTCTTCTAAACATATTGGATAATGCGCCTTTGTACTGTATGTCCTTTATTTCACCTCTTCAGACAAACAAACCATTTTAAAATAAGCCGATAAATAAAATGTATCGTTCTTAAAAAAATAACTGCTTTTAAGGTAGCACAATCTCTGTTATTGCAGACATTCATCGGTTGAATTTTTCAAAATAGAAAAAGCACTGACTATATTATGATATTTATTCTTAAAGTATCATGCTTCATATTCATGATAACTTTCTGATCAAAGAAAGTAACTTATACATTGCAAATGACAAGAACAAAGTGTCAACATAAAAACTATTTGGAAAATAACATTTATTTTCTGTTTTGAATTATAGTCTGTTTCACATCGATACACGATCATAGAATATTACTAATTTCAATTTCATATGTCAACCATAAATTCATAATTTATTGCAACCCAGTTCATTAATTTCCAATTAATAGTTTCATGTTTCATACATGTTTCATTAGTTTGTAATTTCTACCTAACAAAATAATTATTCAGTGACATTTCTCAGAAAATCCCGATATTTCGTTTAATCCTTTTAGAACTTTATTAGCCCTTAGAGTGTTTCAGGATGTTGTTTTTTGTGCACTTCTAAATAAAGCTTCATTTTCTTCTTGAATTGTGGCTACAAAATCAGCTTAAATGTGCATTAGAATGGTTCCGTAATTTTGCGGCAGAGTTTCTGTGTGAATTGTAGAAAATAGCTTTAATTGAAAAAAAAACAGTGTTTAAAAACATTTACAGTTTAACCTAAATATCCTGTGTAGAGATTTAAAAATTTGCTTTATGGTTCATTTTGGTTGGTGGAAGTGGTGGTGTTATTGCAAAAGAAATGCTCTAAATATTAAAAAATTGTGGTCAAGGTTAATGTTAGGATTCAGCGTGACAAAGAATATGCTTTTCTAATTTTAACAGTTACAAAACAAACTTGAATAAACGTTGAATGCTATTCCCAAACCGCCTCCCACAACCCCGACCCCGAACCGACTGTGCTTTATACAATTTTACTCACAAAGATGAACAAGTTAGAAAGCATCTTATAGGAATAAACGACATGTATTAACAGTTGTTTCTTACCAAGTGAAAGACAGTGCATGTATTTTACTGACAAATTGGCTACAGGATCGAATTCTTTTTTATATTTTGAATCCCCGTGTCAAGTATAAATTAATGCGCCCATTTAATGAAATAAAAACAAAGGTAAAAAAATAAGTACATGTACGTTAATAATTAATGTCATTGGTTCATTTGTTGAATATTCCTGTTTGTCGTCAAATAGAATTAGAGTTACTATTGTTATATCTATTATAAACCTCCGCATGACAGAAAAAGTTTTAAAAGAAACAAGAACAATAAGTTTTCAAATTTTTCTCAGGTACTGATGTTTCATGTCATTAAAATAGACATCAATAAGAAACATTTAACACTGCTTCTCAGAGAACAATATGTTATTTGCATATATACGAGAAATATTGGTTATTTTGACTCAGCAAAATATGGATGAAAATAATAAACGTTGTATTATATCAATAGATATAAGATACCAGTTATTAAGGATAGAAATTTCTGTCCGGAATTCTATTGATCTCTGTCAGAGTTGTCATAGCTATGTTTGTTCAAGACAGAAATATTATGTAAATGTAAATCCATGATTAATTATCATCCCTAAAACCAAAGCCAATTTAGTAGAGACACATAAAGCTTTATTCATACCAAATTTTTGCTCTATGACAATCTCTTTGTATAATGAAATAGAAATAAGGGTAAATGACAACTTATATTTGTAATTCTATGTCATTTTAAGAACTCAAGTTACAAGAATATTTTTAAGACTATGCTCCTTACAAATACCAACCCTTTACACAATATGATTTAACTACTCTGCTATATTTGCGAAGAAAAAAAATGAAATTCTATGTGTATAGTAAAGCATGCACTTGAAATGAACCGTATAAGTCTATACTAAAAATATTGTCTTCGCATAAGACAGCAACGACAAAATTTTGTGAAGGTTTGCTTTGGTTTGATCTACTACCCCCATACCGCCTATTCACCAGCTTAAGCTTCGTTTAATTTTGCCTTCTTTCGCGAAAGGATAGCTTGAAGGGTCAACGTTCTCACAGCTTGAAAGAACTTCGGGTGCTCAAGGGGGCAGAAAGTGTTATTTGCCAAACGAGTAAAACCTGGTTGGAGGGTGTCACAGTTGGAAGCTGAATTGATCAAGTATGCAGGCGCTTACTTTGAAAAGAAATAAGAAAATTAGCAATATCCGGCTATGTTCTTGTTCTTTTTTTTCTTTTTTTTTTTTGGGGGGGGGGGGGTTACGTCACATCGACACAGTATAGGTCATATCGCGACGTTCCAGCTTTACTGGTGAAGGACGACCTCAGGTTCCCGTCCGTGCATTATTTCAGGCACGAACGGGTACCTGAGTAGAACCACCGACGTTCCGTAAGCTAGCTGGATAGCTTCCTCACATGAAAGAATCCAAAATCCCTGTCGGGGTTCGAACCCACAGCGGTGAAGGGCAAGTGGTTTGAAGTCAACGACCTTAACCACTCGGCCACGGACGCCCCTGCTGTGTTCTTGAAATGACTGTGTTGACATATTGTGATATTGTAAACATCACCATTTTTGTGAAGAACGACAACCCTCTTATAATAAAATGTTAATTCTTAAAATTAAACATTAAAACATCAGCATATCAAGCCATGTAATATAATTAACTCTACACATTATCAATGGCACTTGCAAAGCACGTAAATAACCAAACAGTGATCAAAATATGCATAAATAGTCTTTACTGCGTCAGTAACGCAGTAGAATAGAGTTGTAAATACGGAAAATCAGTCAATAATCGCTCATAATATGTAAAATATTACTTGAATCTTGAACCTTTTTACTTTTCCTTACATCTTAGTACATTTTTCTTAATAAATAGTTTGACTCATCTGGAGGCATGTCAAACTATGAGACATGCCTTAAAATGCTTCCTGCGTACATGTGAAAGAAAAATGAAGAACAAAATAATTAACCATATAAGCATTATTTACCGGTAAGTTGTGATGTCTGAATTGCTCAAAATATACAGACTAAACACATTGCGGTAAATGCAAGAAAGCTGGAAGTAGCTTTCAGTTACATACATTTCTTCAAGCTAGATCAACAATATATTGCTAGCACCAACAAGTTCCTAAAGTTCATGTTTAACAAATCTTATGAAACAAGTCAACTGCAAGAACAAAAATTGTATGTGTCCACATGCTTTTGACATTGAGTTGTCACATTGATTAAATGTAACACAAGTTTCAATATGGATTTTTTCATAATTCAGTCGGAGAGTTGTGATTGCATCTCAAACATATAACCCCAAACAATGTTATTTTCATGATTTTAACTTTTTTAATTTTATAATCAACCTTCAACTGTAAATCTTAGTTACTGGGGGTATTTAAAGGGCATATCGTTTTGTGCTTCGCATGCCCTTTGCATTTTGAAATTTTATTGGTGATGCAACGGTGTTTTGATTAAATGTATCATGATTATTATCATGTATCTACCTATTTGCACAAATGTTATTAGAGGTAAGTCTTTATAGAACACAGTCTCAGAACAATAACAAGCAGTCCCGACACTGTTCAGTCTCCTGAGTTTGCTTATGAATAAAACTCAAGACGAGAAAAGAAACATAAACAAAATTACTAAACTGCAATAGGGTAGGCAAAAGGCTCAGCATGTTTGCCACCGTGTAACTGACATGACTAATATAATCTGGAAAACATAATATTCCTGCCAGAGTTAAAGGAATAAGAATGGATCGATTGATGTCTGTCTAATATAAATATTCATCATTTAAAAAGACGAACCATGACAGTTTCCCTATTGACATCAACCCTATAAGAGAGAAATTCGTGTTTAAAGACACTATTTTTTACTTGAGAAATAAGTTCATGGGCGCTGCCATTTTGGCGTTCTGTCATTCTCGCGAGACAGACGAGACCGAGATTGTGACGTGTAATACCCACTTCCGGTATAGTTGTACACGCTGGTACAACTGAAATATATCTTGATGAAGAACTTATTAATTTAATTGCGTACATTATATATTATTTATGAAAACATCATATGGAACTGAATTGCTT